CTCTCTCTCTCTCTCGACTCAGGCACTTGCGCAGTCTCCCAACGCGCGACCGCCGACGCGACACGCCTCCAAGCGCCGCAAATTAAAGCTTTCGGCCGTTTCAACTCTTCGTATCTTCACACTTGCGCCTCTGTTCATCGTCACATCACACTCGACGAGAGAGCGTGGGAATCGCGTGGGAATCGCGTGGGGATCACGAGTGTATGATCACATTGGGGCTGCTGCTGATGATGATGCTCAGACAAAGCCGCCTTCGCCGTCGTTGAACGCCTGCTGGGCCGCCTGCTCCACCACTTCGAGATCCCACTCGCCGCCGACAGTGTCCTTGGTGATGCGTCCTCGCACCGCCTCGATGCTCTGGCTGAGCTGCTGGAGCTGCTTCTCGCTCGGAGATTGAGCCAGCAATGGTGCGATCCACAGTTGCTGCAGCCGTTGGAGCACCGCATCGTCTCCCGCCTCGAGCCGGCTAGCGATCTGGCGCAGACACGAAATCACATGTGCACGTTCCGACCGCAGTCGCAGCAGGGTATCGTCGATACAAGCCTGTGCCAGCCGCCAGTGTCGATAGAGCGGAACCGTCAGTGCCCTCCGCACGCATCCGACCAGTGTTGCCGCCACGACAGCATCCAATGTCCCGGAAGAATGCGGTGGAGAGGAGGCGGATAACGAGCGCGAGAGCTTGGCGATCGTCCATCCCGACTCCACCGTGGCTTCGCCGTCGTTGGTGCGCTCGTCGTAGCTCAGCGCAAACAACAGCTCCAGCACCACCGCTAGCGCTTCTTCCGTCTGTGCTTCCCCTCCCACTTCAGCCGCAGAGTCGCCGGCGGGAACTGTAGGGGTGAACCGTAAAACATGGTCGAGCTCACCGTCGACATCGAGGTAGTTGTCCATGTAGACGCCCTCGTCCCATCGCTCCTCCTCGTAAGCCACTGCTGCAGCATACCGCGCTGCTGGCTCCATGCTGCCCGGGTCGGCCACCTCCAGCACGTTGCGAGTGTCTGCACATCCTGCCGGAATCAGCGCACCTCTCGCTTGGCCGCCCAATCCAAATCCAAACCCTGGTGCGTTTGCCTTGTCGTCGACGGTCGCCTGCTGCGTCGAGACCATCTCGTCGTCCAGTGCAGCCTCACCTTCATTGTCCGTGACCGTGACGAGTCCCTGGCTGCGCAGTGCCTGCTGCAGCAACGACTTGGCCTCTGCATCCTCGCTTGCCTGCGATGCCGGCTCGAAGAAGCCCTTGGACTGCTCGGCGTCCACAAGCGCCTGCTTCAGTTGGTCCTCCGGCAGCAGTTGGGCTTGCAACTGGTCCAGCCCCTCGAATTGCTCTCCCCGCTGCACCTTGTCGAGCGTTACCACAAAGACCGTCGCTCCATCCTGTGCGCTTTCGACCGTCGTCGCATCCGAACCTGGCGTCCTCACTGCACCCGGCAGCACGAGTGGCAGATAGTACGGCTCCAGATGGAATCCAAAGATGCGTCCTTCCACCGCGATGTTCGGCATGCTCGTTCCGCCAGTGGTGCCTTGACAGCTGATGCGGATATACAGCCGGTCTGCATCCTGCCTTGCCTCGAATGAAGGCGTCGCAAAGCCGTCCATCGTGAAGCTGTTGGTGGGAAAAGGTAAAGGAGATGGACGGCGGGAAGACAGTCGGCTCGAAGTTTTTTTCTGGGGGGGTGGAGCCTCCACAATTCCGGCTGCGATTTTTCCTTGGACCCTGAAAGCCCCCGGCGAATTGGCCGGAACACAGCCAACGAGTCGGCGCTCATAATGACCTCGCCAACGCTCACCATCGTCTTCCGCTTCGGTCAATGCAACGCCGTAAGAAGGGTATAATTAGCACATGTGCCGCAGCGTCTGTGCGAGCTCTTTGATCAGCTGGCCTGCCTCGGCAGCCACCGGATTCGCGCCGTCCTGGCCGGCCACTTGCGCCGCCTCGTCTGTGCCCGCACCGTCCTCTGCGACATCGCTGCCTGCCGCTTCTTCGTCACCACGCACCCTACCCGCATCGAGCGCGGCTTGGTGCACGACCGCAAACTCGTCCACCGCATCGAGCAGTGTCTGCAGTCCATCCTCGCCAACGACGGCTACACCGTTCGACGTGCTGTGCGCACTCGGTAGTTCGGCCGCCAGCGCGGTGCGACACGCCTCCAGTCTCTCGGCGCCACCCACGCCGAACTGCGCAATCGCCGTGGCGATCGAGTTGGACAGGTACGCCGCATTGCTGTCGTCGCGGCTGGCTGCGGCGATGCGCGTCTGGAAAAACACGCGCGCCAGAAGCTGCAGCGCCGGAAGCCTGCCCTCGCAACCGCATGCGTCGGCGGCGGCACACGAGCGTCGTCGCCAGCATGTCGGCACGAGCCGTACCGCCTCCAATGCGTCGCGCGCCTTGTCGAGCTGCTTGATGAGCAGATTCGTAAGCAGTGCCAGCGAGAGGTGCACCACATCGTCAAAGAGTGCGACGTCGGGCGACCGTGTGCTGTTGTCATCGCAATCTTGCTCTGAACCACGCAGTCTGGATGCGCTCTGCTGGCCCAGGAGAAATGCGCGCACGATGGAAGCCTGCAGCACTGCCGACGAGGCAAGCGATTCGCTCCAGTTGGCGTCGACCTGGCTCAGGTCCAACAGCATCTTGAACAGCACGTGCAGCACTTGCAGGGCGCGTGTCTCGATGCTGCGGACATACCCCGATCCCGCGCCTAGATTCGCCGCCTTGCCGGTATTGCTGAGCAAATCGAGGGGAGCCGCTTCGATGGCAAAAGCGATCAGATGCTGGAGTGCACCGAGCGTCTCGTCGGAGGCGGGCAGGTTGCGATCCAGTTCCAAGTAGAGCAAGTCCATGGCCTTGTCGAGGAAGCGGATGGCGACGTCGACGGCCTCGAGATCCGGGATCGCCTCGACTGCTGTAGGTGCGACGAGTTCGAGCCCCTTTGCAAAGTCGACCAGACGCTGCTGTGCCTTGTTGCCCTCTGAGACCAGCGTCTCGAGGACGGAATGGAAGAGTGACGAAGGCGCGACACTCTCGACGCCTTCTTCGGCTGCGAATAGGCCACCCAGCGTATCCTCGGTCCACAGACGCCGCGGCAGCGCGATCAGCGAGCAGCAAGCGGCAACGACAAGATTGCGCACCGTCCAGCTGGTGCCACCTGCCACAAAGAGCTTGGAGATGCGTGAGATGGCACGCAGCTCATCGAGCGCCTTGCGATCTGGACGCGAGGCGATCTTGTGCTGCCTGAGCTCGTGCAGCCGTAGCAAGGCGAATCCGTCCTTGCGGTCCGAGCGCGACGCTCGATTGGCCCGCAGGAGCATGTTGACAAGCGTGTGGTGCAGATGAACGCTTCGCTCGCGCATCAAGGGCTCGGCATACGACGCTGTCTTGAGCAGCTTTGCCGCATACACGGCGAGGGAGGCGTCGAGGACGTCGTCGGTTCCTTCTCCGGCTTCTGCGCCGGTGAAGAGGTCGAAGAGGCGCACGATGAGGTCGGAGGCCTTGAGTTTGCGCAGGAACTCAGCCGATTGGGCGGAGGCGAGCGGATCTTCGATCGACTCTTCATCGACATCGCTATCGTCGTCTGCGTCTGGCAACGAGCCGATGTCGGGCTTGCCGCAAAGCAGGCGGATGAGCTCGACGGCGGAGCTCTTGCGGATTGATAGATTCTGGGCCGGGTCGAGACCGGAGAAGAGGTACTCGAGATCGTCGTTGAAGCGGCGGAGCTCGCCGGTGGAGCGGAGCGAGGTGATAGACTTGAGGTTGAGGGTGGGATCCTGCGACTCGTCCCACTCGATGTCGTCTGCGCCTTCTCCCCACTTTTTGAGCAGTTCGGCGTAGCTCTCGCGCGGCGCGGGTGCGTTTGCCTCGGAAAGGCGAGATGCGGCCGAGGACGCGACGCGAGTGGGTTTGGTGGGATGCTTGGAGGCATGACCGTTGATCTGCGCCTCGATCTCGTCTTCAATGCTGCGGGTCGCTGTGTCCGCGTTGGGATTGGGTGCGGGTGGTTGGGTCGAGTCTGTAAGGAGGTTCTCTTCGGCTTGGTCTGCGAGGAAGCTGCGCTGCAAGCCATAAGTGCGTTTTGCATTGGTGGCTGATGTCTGCTTGATACCAGCGAGTCTGCGGGCGCCCGATGCTGAAGCGGAGGTATCCTGCGATTGAGTTTCGGCCGGAGAGTCGATGTCGAGTCGCGCTGAGCTCGAAGCTGTTTCGGAAGGGCGTGCTGGTGCCATGGGGGTGTCGGCCTGCATCCCGCCATTCGGAGCCGCTCGATCGAACAAGTGCGCATCGAAGATGGCCGAGGGTGCGGTCTCGGTTCGGCGCAAGGATCCGCGCCTGGAATTGGAGAGCGCCTCGGCGATTTCGTCGACCTTGGACTTGGCGGGGCGTGCGGTTCGGGGTGCCATACGATCGGCCATCCTGGATCGCTTGGAGGGGCTGATGGGGGCGGTGCCTGGAGAGAGCTGATCATCGAAACCAAAGTGCGGAAGAGTGGGCGACTGAAGCGGGCTGTTGATGGGAGATGCTGGATCGAGGGCCTCGAAAGGGGCTAGGTGGACGACGGGATGGCTCTCGCTCCTAGCGAAAGGATTGCTGCGGGGCTGCGGCAAGGTGGGTTCGATGGCGTCAAAGAGGCTGGAGAGATCCTTTGCTGGGCGCGTCGGGGTGCGGGAGCGGGCGAGGCGTTTGGAGGGTGATGATGTCGACTTGCGAGGCGAGGTGCTGGCGCTGCGCTTGGCGGGTAGGGTGGATGAAGACGACGGGCGACGTGCCTTTACGGCGCTGGAGGGAGAATCGGCGCGGGCCGGGCGCTGCGGCAGCGAGCTGATGGAG